GGACAGGACATCAGTGTTCAGTCATTGGCTCCATCTGCTTGTTCTGCCCTGAGGCCCCACCCTCAGTTTGCCTCTTCCTGCCCCCACTTTGCCTCTTCCCCCAAGGACCTGCCCGTAGCTCATTCCTTTCTGCCCTCTTCCTCACTGTCACTTATCTTGAAGGCAGGAAAACAAGTGTGTGCGCGCACACGCAGATGGGTATTGTGTGTGGCAGATATAGGGTGTGTAGGTGGGTTGTGCAGCCAGGGTATCATGGTGGGGAGGTGAATGCTAGACAGCAACATAACTGATACTCTATGAATCCCTTTCTGCCCACCCCTCTCTATTTCCCTGCAGAGCCTGGCCTGGGGAAGTGCAGCCTGCCCCTTGCTGACTGGGAATTCAGCCCCACCTCCACCCCAGCTGGCCAAGAACTATGCTGGGCCAAGTGGGTACTGTCCTGGGGCACAGAACAAAGGCTGCCATTCTCACCCCTCCTTTGCTGGGTGACACTCCCTGCCCCCAAGAGTTGGGAGGGGGAACAATCCACTGGTTTATTGGTCTCGCACTGCCAAACATGCCCAACCCCTCCGTTCTGTGCAGTCTCCCCCTGCCTCCCCCATTCTGTGCATCCCACCCAAATGTGAGCTTCAGGGTAGGAAGTGGAGCTGGAATGGGATGGGAAGGGAAGGGAAGAGGAAGAGTTAGCATAAGACGTAGGATGGAAGAAGCAGTATGCGGCTTTGGGATAAAGCACCGGTGAGGTCTCAGTCTGGCACCAGTACGCCTCGTCCCCAGTGCTGGCGAATTTCTGGTGCTTCTGCCCAGGGCACAAAGGCAGCAGGCTGGCACGCTTCTAAAGAGAGATGTCCCGTGACATGTACAGCATTTACTCCCTGCAGGGCCAGCCTTTTTTATTTCAAGCCTCTTATATACACCACTCATGAGTTTATGTAAATTGTAGTTTTAATTTTGCATATAAATTCCTGGTTATTACAGGGATGCGTGCTTTCTAAAGCAATAAAATAATATTTAACAGACTGATTCTCTGCTCCATCACATTTATACAATGCTGGTAGAGAATATGATCCTAAAAGTCTGAATTATAGGAGACAATGTATGCAAAAGACACTACACAAAATAAATGTTATAATGAAGAGTCATATGGTAGAAGGGGAAGAAATGGGCCATACTATATACATTTCTATAATTGTAAATCAGCATTGTTCCATTGAGATCATGCTGATTTATGCAAGCTGAAAATCTGGCTTGTTCTCTTTAATAATTTTACTACATATGCATGGTATAACACATTAATTTTTCCCATAAATTCAAATATCTTATTCCTTATTCCAAATAAGTTTTTGGTCCACAAATGGTGCCTTGCAGTTTCTTTTAAAACAATGTAAAATGCATAACAGTTTGATTTAAATATATTATTTCATTGCATACATTAATTATTTTTTTGACACTTTGACCTTTCTCTGCTGTACATTGATTATGTTGTTATTCTGTGTTATTTCATTTTTTGTTATTTTTTAACAGTAACATTTTCTGAGATTACAAACATACTGTATTTTTCCTATTAAGATAGTGGAAGACTACACAATTTCTAGCTGGGAATACTTGTCATCATACGCTATTCAGAGAACTTCCACAACTCCTCAGAAAAATCTTATTTTTTATTAAAATCACAAGGCTGGTTCAACTAAACAACTAGAAAAGTTTACTTAAGGACATTTTCTAAAATAACATGCTAGCTCATAATAATGAGTAATGAGCAGTCTGATGCACACACACAAACTTCTTGTGTTACCTAATCTTATTGTTTAGCCTCCTTGTTTTTTGTGTTTTATAATCAAATGGCTGTGGCTTCTTACCTGAATCATCTGCCAGGGAAATGTTGGTGAAAGTGCTGTCCTCATCTTCCAAAGGTACCTCCATTTTGTTTCAGTTTTTCAAACAGATTTGTTTCACAAATGCATTAAACAGTGGCATTTGTCACCCATATTTCAGCTTTCATGTGACATGGCGTGTTAAATCTTTAATGATTCCATCCACCAAATAGGTGCTACCTGATCCTTCAAGTTAACTCTACACGTTTTTCTTTCAGTGTGATCTCTTGCCTGAACTCTGAGCTCTTTCCCGGAAATTGTTAAACTACAAAGTTAAAGAGTTATAACAGCTTGATCAGATACATGCAGAGCAAACACTGTTGTTTCAGATTGGTTGTGTGACAAGTACTGTTCGTTCTACATAAAGAAGTTTCTTTTTTTTTTTTCAAGACAGGAAGAGGTGGAGGAGAAAACCCAACTATGAGAGCTCAAATAGATAATTTACTTGTAGCTCAAGCAAATGCAGTGATCAGGTTTGGGAGCTACAAATTAAAAGCTCCTAGTCCAGGGGTGTCCAACCTAAACCTGAGAAGGAGCCAGAATTTACCAATGCACATTGCCAAAGAGCAGCAGTTCTATGTCACCAGCCCTGATTATCTCCCCACCACCACTCTCAGCAACCCCACCAGTCAGTGCCTTCTTCGCCTTTTCCTCCTGTCCACTGGGATTAGCTCTCTCTCAGTGGGAGACACTGAAGAGGGGAAGCATGGGTGTGACAGACTCATTAGAGAGGGTTGGAAGTGACAGGATCCTTGGGGGGGAAAGCATTTAGGGCAGAGCTGGGGGTTGAACAGTGAGCACCCAGTGGAAAGTTGGCATCTGTAGCTCTAGCCCTGGATTTCGTACCTATGCAAGGAGCTGCATATCAACTTCTGAAGAGCCACATGTGGCTCTGGAGCCACAGGTTGGCCACTCCTGTGTCCTTCCTGTATTTAGACTTGAGTGATTTTCCTTGCTTGAACAGTCCCATTAAAGCTAGTAAGTCTAGCTGCATGAGCAACTCCTGAGGAATTCTTCACCAAAAAAAAAAAAAAAATTATGCACCCAAAATGTTTAAATTAGTTGCACAATATTTTAAAATTCTGCAAATTGTATTTGTCAGTAAATAAATATAGTTCTAGCATGGCAATGGGGAGCAGAGGCCACTGGCTGCACTGAGATGGGGGATCACTCTGAAGGCCCCACAGTCCCCGGTACAGGGACTTGGCTCTTAGATTGCACCTGGCCCTGACATAGTACAAGATTCTGGGCCTGCCCCAGAAACACCCTAGCACCCTGCTTCTCTGCAGCAGATGTGGGTGGGCAGGCACAGCCCAGCAGGATTCAAGTGTAGAGGGGCTTAGTGTAGGAGGATCCAGGTGTGGGGTGAGGGGTTTCTGGGTGGGGTAATCTCGGTGCAGGCGGCTCAGCGAGCGATCTAGATGCAAAGTAGCTCATGGAGGGTTTCCAAGAGGTGGGACAATGGGACTGCACAGAGGATCCAGATTTGGGCTCAGCAGAGGGGAGGTCTCTGAGGGCTGGGAGTTGTGATTCAGCACGGGATCAGTGTGTGGGAGGAGTGGAGCTAAAGGAGGTGAGGGTCCAGGGATCAGTGGGGTAGAGGTTTGGGTGTGAGGGACTCATTGGAAGGGTCCAAGAGTAGGGGGGATAGGACTTTTCAGGATGAGGGTTCCCACTTGCCCCTGTGATTCCCCTATTCCCTTTTCTTCTCCATCTTCCTCCCCTCAGTCCCACATTCCCCTCCCCCTTCCCTATTCTTTTCCCACTTCCTCTCTTCTCCTCCTCCCTTTCATTTTCCTGAGCCCCACTGCTGCAGGCATTCCAAACAGGAAGGCTCCCAGCACAGAGAAGAGGAGCACAACTGCCATTAGGACCCAGGAGGTACAGTAATTCCTCATTTAACGTGGTAGATATGTTTCAGAAAATGATCGTGCTAAGTGAAAACGTGTTATGCGGGGTCAATTTTCCCATTGAAAGTAATGGAAAAGGCAGGGGTTGCGTTTCAACTACACGTGCGCTCACAGCTCTAGCCTGCACTTGTTAGCAGCTGAGACTGGGACATAAGGTTGGGGAAGAAAGGGGACTGGGTTATAGCAGGGAGGGGAGGTGTTTGGCTCTGGAGAAGGGAAGGGAAGGACAGGGGAGGGGGCTTGCAGCCGGTGGCTGGGTTTCCCCAGCTGGCCAGTCACCGGGGGTTTCCTCTGCCTCCTTACAAAGCGGCGGAGATTTGCCACTCGCCGCGCAGTTCCCTGATGACCCCCTCTGGCCGGACGCAAGGCATCTGGCCAGAGGGTGTCACCGGGGAACTGTGTGGAGAGTGGCAAACCTACGCCGCTGGCCTTCCCCTGCCTCCCTGTAAAGCGGCAGAGGTTTGCCGCTCACCGCGCAGTTCCCCAGTGACCCCCTGTGGCCAGATGCCTTGCTTTCTGCCAGAGGGGATCACCAGGGAATGGCGCTGCAAGTGGCAAACCTCTGCCGCTTTGCAGGGAAGTAGGGGAAACCTTGCACCGGGAAAATTGTGTTATTGCGGGGATGGGGTCGTGTTGTTTGAAAAATGTTCCCTACAAAAAAAATCATGCTATCATGAAAACGTGTTAAGCGGGCACGTCTCAAGTGAGGAATTACTGGATTCCGCTCTAGAGTTAGCAGAGCCAAGATGCAGCTTCTTTCAGCTGGGCACAAATTCAGGGGCAGGGGCAAGGGCAGTGGCAGGCCCACCGACAGGAAGGGCAAAGGAGCTAACTGTTCCAGGGCCCAGCAATACAAAAGGGCCGGAGCTTCTGGCTGCTGCCCTTCCTACTGTGGCAACCACTGTGTCTGGAGCCCCAGGCCCTTTCAGTTGCTTCCAGAGTACCATGTGGTACATTCTAGACAGCACTGAGAGCTTCCTAGCCCCAGCACCATCCCTTCCACCAGAGGCCTCGCCTCTTGTAGGAGCAGGTCCTTCTCCCCCGGCCTTGCCCAGGAGTCCAGCCAGCTGTCAGCCCACAGGTGGCAGGTAACCCCATGTGCCCACAGTGCCCCACTTCTGTCTGCCAGGGGACAATTACCCCTTCCCTCCCCCACAAAAAACCCCACAAAAACCCCAGCGCTCGTGCTCCCACTCACTGTTTTCTGCAGGGAAGCACAGGAATTCTACAGAGGGGGGACGTTTTCTGCAGGCATGCAGTCACACGGAATCCCTCCAGGAGTAATGAGTAAAGTTATTCACATGTCTAAAGACAGGACCTTATGTACTATGCGTAAGTAGGAGGAGAGTGGAGAAGTTGTCACAGACAAATCCTTCTATATTCTTTTAGGTTGCATTTTTTAATCAAGTCTGGTAGGTTTTCATGGAATTCTGTGTATATGTTGAATTAGATATGACAAACTAGGAAATGCCCCTTGAACTGCGCCCCTCTTAGAAACATACTTTTGTTGCATTCATGGAACTAAGTGGCCTGCTAGAACTTGTCTTAGAGCTTGTCAACATAGTGAGGTAATTAATGCATACTGTAGGGTAATTGAAATCAACATATTTGAAAATGTAGAAAAAAATCCAAAAATATTTAATAAATGTCAGTTGGTATTTTGTTGTTTAACGCTGTGTCTGAGATCTGTTTTGTTTGGGGAGGAAAGGGCGCTGGCAGCCTCTGTTCTGTAGGAGCTGGGCTCTTTGCATCCCAGCAGAATAATGTACAAGGAATTTAAGAAAATGAATCTCATTAGGCTTACAGTAGCTCCCTTCTTTGGGTTTCCCTGAGAGAAAGGATGTAGGACATGGGAATTGCAATTCTGGATGAGACCATTGGCCACTTAATCCAGTAGCCTGTTTCTGACACTGGCTGTCCCTCTGCAAGGTAGCAGGGGAATTGACTCTTGTTGGAAACTATAAATGGATGGTTTTAAGAATCGTTGTTAATGAAGCAGTAGAGCTGAGCTGAGTAAAATAGATGAGATTTTAATGCTCAGATTCACTCAGCGTCACATATTAAATATACCAAAATGTTTTTTCTTGTAGTGAATAACAGGCCTACTAGTACTTTATAGAATTGTACCCAATGAAGGAATCGCAGTGAGGGCATAGCAAAGTTGGAAAAGCACCTTTAGAATGGCTGCATTATTATACTGATTCAGTGTAGTGCCAGTGGTCAGATCATTCTCTTAAACCACTGCATTGATATAGCCGCAACATTGTACTTTCAGTAAACATAGTGCATACGCTCTAGGGTTTTTCCATCAGCATAGGTAATCTCCCTCCCCAGAAAGGGTAGCTAGGTCAGTGGAAACTTTTTTTCATTGACCTCGCGCCACCTATAACAGGCGTAAGCAGTGTTTCTTAAACTTTTTAAGACTGAGGAATACCAAACAATTTTTTTTATGGGAAACACCAAGGATTTTTTTGTTGAGCCCCCCCCCCCCCCAAAAAAAAAGGTCGGGGGGGGGGAGGAGAGATATTGAGCAAAAAAAAGGTTACCTGCCTCAAAAGGTTGGCCATTTTGAATACTGTTGTTCTCCGTGGCACACGGTTTAAGAAACACTGAGCTTAAGTGAACAAAGTTGCATTTCTCAGCAGTATCAGTTTTTCATACTACTAAGGAGGAGAACTATGCTGATATAAATTTCCAGTGAAGACCTTCCTTTGAAGTGACAGGGAATACTTAGGGCTTTATGTCTGCACTAGTTGAGGGCAAGTATGAAGGAGGTGTACGGCTGTGAGCATTTTGTGGAAAATGTTAATAAATTTCACAGCAGAGCTTTGGTAATAGTTATGAAATTAAAAGAATGGCAGTTTAAGTTTGATTAAGAAAATAAGATATTTACTGTGTGGTTTGTGAATAGTAAGGAAAAGGTCCAGAAAAATCAGCAAGTAAAAGAAGGCAATGAGAATAATAATATTACTTATAGTGGGGGCCTGGGAAAGATGTATGGTTTAAAGAGCAACCGATAAAGTGAAAAGCTGCAGTAACAAAACAAAGGAAAACTGTCTTAAAAGAAATAAGCACAACCCTTCCCACTGTTCTGCTAGTAAGAGGTAGGGCAGGGGAGATAAGGAAGGCCTTGGAGGAAGGAAAGTAGCAATGCTAAACTGCTTCAAACTGGTTTTTTTTTTTAAATTAGCAAGTTAGCTGAAGTGCACAAAGAAAGTTGTGAATTTGAAGGTTCTTTGTCAGACCTTACCTCCTCGTGCTGGAGCGTGCCAAAACGAGGTCCCTTCCAGTTCTAGTATTCTGTGATTCTGAGACAGTTTCCCTAGGTCTGGCCTATTTCTAAATACCAGTCACTAGGAATGTTAGATATAATTTAATTGAATAGTCGTGTAACTGCACCAAACCTTATTGCCTACTCAGTTACTTGATAGTCCCTGGATATGGTGCTGGCAGCTAGTGCACTCCTGGCCCCATTTCAGGGGGAGCCCCTGCCACCCCGCAATACTGACTCTGACACAGACAAGCAGTGTGGGATGGCAACAGCCTCTATCTGCAGGGGGCCCAAGCTCCCACCCTTTGGGCTCCCTTTGTGGCTCGGTTCTAGCTATGCATTTTGCTTAGCTGGAGTTGTGTACCTTAAGCCAACCTTCCTGGTCTAGTACAGACCAGGCCTAGGTGAGTGTCTGCAATTGGTTATTCTTCAAATTCTATGAATGTAGTTGCCAGCAGTTATGACTTACCACACAGCTCTTTCTAAGCAAGCCCATTTATTCTTAAAGTGAAAGCATCAAAGAGAAGACACACAAAACAATAAAAATGATAAATTATTAATAGTAAAATGTCCCTTCTAATTCTTTGTAAATGCATTATGCTACCTTAACTATGTAACTATTGGAAAATCAATTTTATTAAGTGATGAAATGTACAACTTGTATTTTCAGTATTAAAAATAAAAAGAAATTCAACTGGGGCATTTAATTGTAGCTTGATTTTTTTGGTATGGTGGACATAGCTTGGGGGTATATATTAAGGAAAATTTCCTATTTGTGGTTATAAATTCACATACGTTTTAAAAGATCATTTTGATTTAAATTTTTTTCAGTAAAGACAGTGGAGTACTTCTGTGAGTGAAGGATTGCAGAATCAGGCCCCAAACATGTGATTGCATAATTATGTTTGCTCATTCGAGTTTGTCAGCTTTTCTCCAGTTCAGAACTAGAATATTTTTAATTATTTTTCTTTTACAGAATTTGGTCAGACTTCTCCAATTAATCAATCATACATAGTATGTAAAATACTATATTTTTAAAGCGTGTGTCTTGTTAGAAAATGACAGCTGTCACTGCATTTCTCTTATAATGAACTCTGATGGAAAGAAGCTATGGCTCATGTGTTTGGTGCATGCTAATAAAGTAATGATATTACTAGTAAATTCATGGCATGTTCAAAGCTAGTCTGTCTGACAATAACCGACTTGCAGAACAACAGCTTACTAAGGTAGTGACAGAAGCGCATTAGAAGTGTCATTCATAGTCTTAACCAGTGAACTGAAATATATTAATGCTTGTCAGTCACTCTCCTAACCATATTTTCTCCCTTTTTTTCTCACTTTCCCCCTCCTCCTGTTTATCAGTTTGAAACACTTGTACATTGTGTGCTGGGGTTCAGATGGTTCTACATGCATTTGGGGACAGATTTTTGAAAACTAAAGGTGTGTGTTGAAAAGTATCTAAAAAGTTGTACGTGCTGTTACACAACTGCATGCCCAAATGGTTCATTGGGCACCTAAATTGCTGTCTGAAATTGCACATGTAATTTTGGTAAATGTATGCACACTTCTTACACAATCAAATTGGGTTTTTTTATGTGGATCTGAGCATCTGCCTTCTGAACATTTGGCTCTGAAAATCCAGATGGACGTTTGCTTCTTCTTAAAATAGGGTCCATTTCTTTAAAATGTAAGTATTATACCAGAGCTTTTGATATGAAACTTTCTGCGTGGTGGTTCTGCATATTTCTCTATTCTCCTGCTGTTGACAATCTCCTCCCTCCTTTGAACCACATTCTTCTCTTCATGTAGCAGCCCTCTATTCCATCCTCAGCAAATTCACCTTCTGTTTCATCATCCTCTCTGATTTCTCCAGTCATTCAGTTCCTTGTTTTCATCTGATTTGTTCTGCAACCCTGAATCAATATTCTCACTCACCAAAACAGCTTCTTATTTGATCTGGTCTTCACCAGATATTGTCTCTCTTTCATCTTTGTCTAATAACTACCTCATTACCTGAACCACGTGTCTATCAGCAACTGCTCAGTCCTCTTTTCCTCTACTCTTTTTAGCTCTTGCTTTTCTCCATTACAAGCTATTTGGGGCAGCTGCTCACTTTTATTTCGCATGTTTAAAGCACCAAAGCATAGTTAGGCCATACTCGTGGACTTCATGCATTGTAATAATATAAATGTTAAATAATGTTAAATTCAGTGCTAGAGAGACAAGGTGAATGAGGTTTCATCTTTTATTGGATCAATATCTGTTGGTAAGAGAGACAAACTTTTGAGCTACATAGAGCTCTTCTTCCAGTCTGTTTGGCTCAAAAACTCGCTCACCAAGTAAAAGATATTACATTACCCGCCTTTAGGATTGCCCTGCCAGCTTTCTAATTGCACAAAATTGAACACTCCTGCTTCTCATCTTGCCCCACTTCTTCTCTAAGGCCCCACCACCTGCTCGCTCTCCCCCACACTCACTTAGGGTATGTCTGCACTACAGAGTTTTCTTCCTGGAAAAACAGCCATTTTTCCAAAAAAAAATGTCAGTTACATCCACACTGCAATTGCATTCTTCCAAAAGAAAATCAAAAGAACAGAGGGGGGTTTCCGACATTAGTAATGCTCATTCTATGAGGAAGAAGCCTTTTTCCAAAAGAGCTCTTTCGAAAAAAGGTATGTGTGGACGGGGAGGAGGGAGTTCTTTCAAAAGAAGAGAAAAGAGGAAAATGCACAAATGCCCTGGTGGCCACTCCGTCCATAGTAATCACAGCTGAAATGCGAGATAGCAGATTGCTTTTCCAACACACTTTTGCAGTGCGGACGCTCTCTTTCGGAAGAAGTTTTTCCAGAAGATCTCTTCCGTAAAAGCTTCTTCTGAAGGAAGCCTGCAATCTAGACATAGCCTCAGATACACCAGGTTTGGAGTGCTGGAGTGAGGGCTCTGGCTGAAGGTGTGGGCTCTGGGAGGTGCCAGAAATGAGGTGTTCAGGAAACAGGAAAGGGCTTGGGGGTGAGGCTGGGAATGGGGGTTATGAGGTGTAGGAGGGGGCTACGGGCTGGGATTGGAATTTGGAAGGGGAGTTCAGGGTGTGGGGTCCCAGCAACGTTTACTGCAGCTCCCTAGAAGTAGCCACCAGGTTGCTGCAGTCCCTAGGTACAGGGAGGCTGAACAAATTGACCCTGCAGCCAAGGGTCCCTTTTCAGTTAGGAGTTCCAGTAAAAAAAACAGACCCCAGGCAACCCTACCCCCTTTGTCTCTCTAATTTCCTGAGACCGACATGGCTAGAACACTCCATACAACTTGGAAAATTTCTTTCTGTTCTCCACCCTCAACTCTTTTGCCCCCTCCCAAAAGAACTCCTGCCCTGTCAACTCCTAGTCCTGGCTCACCCTCAACTTCTGTTTCCCCGGCTCCTGCCCTCTTGAAGCTGAGCGTCTCTGGTAGAGGGTCTGAAACCATGTGGATTTCTACTATAAATTTGTGCTTTTTTTTTTCTTTTATCCCTTCTCTCCTTTTAAAGGGGTTTCCCCCAAGACTCTTTCCATGGCCTATTCCCTTTCTTCTGCTATACCCTTTTTCTGGGTGCTATTATCTGTTTGGCTTTGATTAATATATTAATGCCAATGACTCACAAATCTGCTTCTCTAGCTAATGAGCTGTCTCCCTTTATCTGATCTAGCATCTCAACTCATCTCTCTGACATTCTTTGTGGATTTTTTTTTTCAACACAAGCTTCTCATTTCTACCTTTAGGTTTCTTCACTATTTAACTCTGCCCGGTCAATCAGATCTATTATTGCAGTGTTGTTTAAAATTATTATTACTTTAACTTGTATTACTATAGTGCCTAGGATTTCCAGTCATGCATCTGGTTCCTTTTCTGGTAGGTTCTGCACAAACATAGAGCAAAAAGACAGTCTCTGCCCCAGCTTTCACCCCTGATCCATTGATTCCAGCCTTTACCTCCAACTTGTCCACTCTTCCCTCAGACACCTTTTGAGTTTTTCTCACCCTGCCTCCTATCCCAAAATCCAAAACCTTACCTCCATATTGCCTTCAAATACTCAAAAGACACCTCTGTGGGGTTCCCACAGACACTGCAATCTTGCTACGGTAGGGATCATACTGACCTTCATGTTCCCTTTAATTGTATCTGATTCTCCTACTTCCCAATTCCTTTGTTTGTGTCTTCTGCTTGCTGAATTCTCCATGATTCTAAACTGAGCACAGAAGGGTCCTCACCCCCTAATTAAGGCTTCTTGGTGCCACTGTGCTACAATAAATAATGATCATGTTAGTCTACTCATTCTTGTTGAATAAACTCAACCTCCTTTTCTCTTCCCCTCCCAATGAAAATGTGCACCAAAGGGGTGGAGCAAATGGGATTTTATTAAAGGAGAAAAATTAGGGGAATAGGATTATTTTTATTATAGTACCTAGAAGTTCCAATCAAAGAGGAAGTTTGCTTTAGGTAATTGCTTCATATCAGATATCCATAATGAGCAAAGTTATAATCTTTCTCAAAAAGATTGTTGATAAATATTTTGGAGAGTACAATTTATCCACTGACAGTGGTTTTTGATGAGTGTATATAGCCATATTACCTAAGTATTTATTTTCCCCCTCTCATATATAGTGTACCAGTGAAGGTGAATTGGACACAGTATGAGACAGGAGTACAGAGGATCAAACAGTGTTGTCACCCTATTCTGGGTAGGTCTGTCTTTTTCTTATAGTTTTGGCAACACTTGTCTAGTTTGTCAGGACAATAAGGTCTCATTAAAATAATTGATCAGAAAATCTCCCCTATTTCTCAGCCCCTTCCAGGATCCCCCAGGACTCCCTGTGATCAGCAATGCTTTGTGTACCCCACACCACGCATTCCAGAATATAGAAGTTTTTAACATTAGAGCTGTCTGAATAATTTAATTTTTCAAAAAGTGTACCTTTGTATCACTGGGATTCTGTCTGGTCAGGTGCTGTTCTAATTTCTGGTAGTCACCTTGCCTCTAGCAGGGCTGCTATGCTAGGGGCTATGAGGAAGGATAGTAGTCAGTATGCTGGCCCTGCATAGCTTCTGCTCCAGAGAAATTTTCTCACAGACTGCTGTGGCTCCTTTATAACTCTGTACATCACCAGAGCAGTCTACAGGGACCTGGGCAGAGACCATAAGCATGTTTGGACCTCATCTATTTTTTTTCTGGCAGTCAGTGCAAGGAGTTCCCATCAGGTAGAATATATTTTTAAATTCTCACCAAAGGAAATAAATATGTCGCTACCTTGTGCAGGCTGAGCACTGCTTTACTGATAGCTGGAGTAACAGAAGTTACGACTGCAAGCTGTTGACCAACTGCGTAGAAATGGAAGGTCACTGCAAAGGGAAAATTTTGTATGCACACATTTAAAAGTAGAGGAAATGTAAATGTAACTGATATGCCAGCAGTTATTTGTAAATATCTGGCTTCAATATTTCCTGTTTTCCTCTACTGTGTTGCCTGCTTTAAAGGCCAAGTTTATTATTCACTCTTCATAAAAATCCCTGATGGAATGCAGCCATGTGACATGGTGTGACAGATCGGGCCAGGTTTGGGCACCGCTGAAGGCATCCGCTCAGGGCAAATTGCTCAAAACTAGGGCTGCTTACAGCCCCAGACTGGAGACCTTTCCCAAACAGGTCACAGACCAGTCACACAGAGCACTCCAGCTGCCAGTCCGGCTAGCAGGAAGCCTCATGAGCAAAACCCCTCAGACACCCCAGCTCTTCCTGTGCCAAATCAACCCCGGGCCTAACACAAAGGTGAGGGATTATAGGACGCAATCTCACCTACTCCGAATGGGTTCTCCTGATCCCAAAGAACCAGCCACAAATCCCCAGTCAGTTTACACTTTGGATCTTACCCACAAGAGCATGCTGGGCCAATCCTTTAGAATCTAAAGATTTATTAACAAAAGTGAAAAAAGGTTGAAAGTAAAGTTATTAAGGAGACTACATTACATGCATCAAATCACCAAATTCTTGATGCAGGCTCTCAGCAGAGATGTTATAAACTGCTATCTTAAAAGTCTCTGGTGTACATCCTATGTCAGGATGGGTCCACGATTCTTCCGAGCTCTCTGTCCCTCACAAAGCTGCATCTGGGATCAATAGCAGAATTGAAGACAAGATGGAGACAGACTCATGGGATTTTTATATTCCTGGTGTCTCGCAAGCTGGAGCTGGTCACATGATCTAGTGACCTATTTGTGTTTCACATGCAAGTAGCCATGAGGCACTGGCTAGTTTGCAGACTTCCAGACGTATTCCTCATCTGTGTATTGGCCACTCTGAGAGCCATTGTCCATGGAGCAGTGCTAGTTAGCACAGCCATTCACTGAACTATTATTCCTCACAATAGGCAGTCCGGGCCCATTGCTCCCTCCCAGACAGAGAATATTTACAGTACAAGAACAGAGCCCATACTCATCATTTCTCATACAAACATCATAAAAGTACACGAACAGCATACATAGAATCAGTAGATCATAAGCTTTCATTTGACACCTCACATGGCCCACTTTGTACAGAATTTGGGGCAAACATCACCTGTGGGTGCAACAGTGATCTGTGCTCACTTTAAAATCCAATAACTTGACACCAACTCATAGAATTTTATCAAGAGTCTGGTAATATTTGGTGTTTTCTTAAAGCCTCAGCTCCTGGAGCAGGAAAGCATTAACTTCAGATGTGGCAGGTAGCAGCTGGAGAACAACTCTGCTCAACATTTCGCAAAAGGATGTGAAGAATATTGTATCCAATTGAGACTACGTATACAGAAATTAATGAACAATCGCTTTCTTACTTAAACAGTTAGGACTTTGTGTATTCTTAGAGTTCTTTGCATCCTGTGTACTAAGAGTCAAGTCCTGAGATGCTTACTCAATCCTTACACTGTAAAACTCTTTGCCTGAGTAAAAACCAAGTTAAGCATTTGTCCAAAGAGCAGTTCCTTCTCCATCCATTAGAATTTACCAGATCAAGTAAACAATTAAAGGGTAAATTGGTTTCAAAGGTGGGGGACAACATGTTTTTGTCTAGTACTCTTTTCACAGAAAGTCATTTTAGTCTTTATTGACTTTCCCAACAGACTTTAGTACTGTCCTTGTATTAGTTTCCAGTAGATCAGTACTCTGACACACCAGCAGTGTTCTAAATCAACAGTCAGCATTCACTGATGAGGTTGAAATGAATTAATGATAATTATTTTTGCTCTGTGTACTGTATGCTTTGCATGCATATGGAAACTATATCTCTACAGCTATTTTGTTTGACTTGCAAAAAACACAGGCAGCACACAGTTTTATTCCATTTCTTTGTTGCACACAAATTAAAAAGTGAAGTCAGAGCCAAAAGATTTTTAAATATATTTTTAATCATTTTCCATAGCCCTACAGTAGGAGTTGTAACCTTATCATATTTTATAAACTTAAACCAGTCTGTGCCTGGACACTGCTGCAAAAAGAGGTGGAGGTGATTTGTTATAGTGAATGTTTCCCATTTCTAAAAATGTTCCCTGGAGAATTGCTCATTAGCATGTCCAGAGGCTGAGCATTCTTTGTCTATTCTCAGCCACAAACAGAGAAATATTCAGTATCCACACATAATACATGCTTATAACTTCACACACAGACATTATACAATTACATGAATAGCATATATAGAATCAGTATAAAGTAAGCTTTTGTTTGACACCTCACATGGCCCCCTTTGTACCCACTTTTGGGGCAAACACCCCCCCACGGGTGCAGCAGTGATATGGCTGCTCTCCTCAAAATCTAGTAACGTGACATGCCCCTCCCCTCCAAGCTCATAGTTGTGCAAGAGAAATGGCTTGGCAGTTGCTTTTCTGAGCAGCGTGTGGGTGGGGCAAGGCAAGCAGGGAGCCTGCCCTGGGGCTCTCCGCTGCATCTGTGGGCCAGATCTAATGGCTTGGCATTTTTGCCCAGCCCTGGTCTAATCAGTTCTTTTTTGGCCAACTTCCAGTTTGATTGATTATTTTCCTCTGTAACTTCTCTCTGAAATTTCAGATGGACCTAATTCTACACTGCCTTGCATGTGAGGTTGAATAGTGCTTTACACCTGTCAGAGTGAGTGTAAAACTCTACTTGCAGATTTTGTAGAGAATTAGGGCTAGTAGTAACATTTCACCCCAGAAGTGTCTGCAGCTCTGTGGATGTACATAAAATTGTGGGGGAACTAGGCTAAATGTAAATTCACTACTGTACTTTCTTATCTTGGGAATTCTAGAAGCAAAGCAAGAATTATTTTCAAACCAGAATATGTACTGGTTTTCATAGCACAGAGTTTCATTTAGTTAAAATTTTTTTTATTTAAATTTCCTTTGAGTACAATTGGTTTTAATTGAGGAATTATTTAAAATGACACTCAGAATTCTACAAAATCTTAATGTAAAATAAATGATGTTTCCTAAACATCATACCTAGTATAAATCAATGCAATTATGTCAGAATGAATTTGTGAGATATTTTTCTATTTGTTGCTGAATATATTTGTGTAACACATTCATTTAGCACCTTTCATACCAGAAGACCTTGCAAACTATGAGACATATGTTGCTCTAAAATATCAGAACATAATTCTTATTGAAGTTCACTGGAATACAACCAAAGAATGACTTTTTTTCTCAAAAGAATGAGGGGAAGAAGAATACTTAATTTAAATGTCTGTCCCAGCCCTTCCGCCTTCCCCCACAATTCTATGTACATCCACAGAGCTGCAGACACTTCTGGGGTGAAATGTTACTACTAGCCCTAATTCTCTACAAAATCTGCAAGTAGAGTTTTACACTCACTCTGACAGGTGTAAAGCACTATTCAACCTCACATGCAAGGCAGTGTAGAATTAGGTCCATCTGAAATTTCAGAGAGAAGTTACAGAGGCAAATAATTAATCAAACTGGAAGTGCCTCTGTTTCATTGAAGCACTTCGTTTCTATTGTAGTTAGAAGCCACTATTTTTGAGTGGCCTCTAAAACATGTACTGAGATCCTGATTAAAATTAGCCCTTTGTGTGATGTGGCTCAACTTAGCATGTGATACAGGTGTCATCTATACACATTAGTTTGAAATGTTATGCCCTAGGAATAAAGCCCTACTAAATTCATGGATGTGAAAAACATGTCACAAACTGTGAAATCTGTTTTTTTCTTCTTCGAGGATGTCTCTGTGGGTGCTCCACTGTAGGTACTGGGCTACTTTTCTGGAAGCAGTATCCGGCTGGACCGCGCATGTGCCATGGCATCTCACGGCATTTGCGCCCTTTTGCCTGAGTGCGCAGTCTGGCCCCCGCCAGTTCCTCTCGACCACCTCAGGCTGCAGATGAAATGAACTGCGCTCTTCTTCAACTTGCCTTGTCGTAAGATTACCTTGTGTATAGTTCTTACTTTCCTCATTGTAGTATTGTTATTATTTCTTCCGTCCGTTTCTCCTTTACAAAAAATTATTAGAATGATATATAGTTAAATACCTCAGAGTTCGAATGTACCGTGTTTCCCCCTACGTTTCCCCCTCCAATGTTTGTACATAGTTATATAAATAATATACAAGCTGTTCTTTTTTTTAAAAAAAAGAGAGAAGAGAAGAGAGAGAAATAAGAAAATTCTAAAAGACTAAAATAATCATTATGCTGTCGTTGCCTGGGTTTAAAAAGTTCAACTCTTGCCGCGAGGCAATGCCTGCTTCGGACAGCCATTCCTCCTGTATCAGATGCCACACCCTGCTTCTGCCTCAGAGGATCAGCCCTCAACGCGCAGGGCCTCGTCTCCTTCAGCAGCGTCGCCAACCAGATCTTTACCCTCCGTCTTGCATGACAGAGTCAGCTCTGGAGACAAGCCCACCACTTCTGGCACAGTGAAACCGCGTTCAAAAATACCCACGGTGCCGAAGCTGACGAAATCGGGAGAAGCGGCACAGTCTGCAGCACCAAGGATTGCATCGGCTCCGCCTGCACCCAAGCCACCGGCACCGAGAGCGTCATCGGCACCGATAGCTACAAAATTGGCATCGGTGGGCTCTACGGCACTGGACAATCATGCAGCACCAGTGAGTGTAGCACCACATCCATCCATGGTCGGCACCGAGACCCCGGCACCGACAATTCCCCCACGCCGAAGCTGCTCCCGTTCACTAGTTTTTTCTCCGGCACCGTCTCCCTTCTCCACTGGCACCGCATTCTCCAGCTTACCACGATAGCCGTCACAGGTCTTCATGCTCCCCACAACAATTATCATCTCCTTTTCTCACATCATACCCTGACCATGGCAGACATCACCATTGTCATCGCTCCATCTCTTCTGCTTCCTCCAGAGCTTCTTACATCAGCGCTCGCTCTCCACACTCTTCCCACATCCATCATTGGCAGCATACCCATACTGGGCTACTTTTCTGGAAGCAGTATCCGGCTGGACCGCGCATGTGCCATGGCATCTCACGGCATTTGCGCCCTTTTGCCTGAGTGCGCAGTCTGGCCCCCGCCAGTTCCTCTCGACCACCTCAGGCTGCAGATGAAATGAACTGCGCTCTTCTTCAACTTGCCTTGTCGTAAGATTACCTTGTGTATAGTTCTTACTTTCCTCATTGTAGTATTGTTATTATTTCTTCCGTCCGTTTCTCCTTTACAAAAAATTATTAGAATAATATATAGTTAAATACCTCAGAGTTCGAATGTACCGTGTTTCCCCCTACGTTTCCCCCTCCAATGTTTGTACATAGTTATATAAATAATATACAAGCTGTTCTTTTTTTAAAAAAAAAGAGAGAAGAGAAGAGAGAGAAATAAGAAAATTCTAAAAGACTAAAATAATCATTATGCTGTCGTTGCCTGGGTTTAAAAAGTTCAACTCTTGCCGCGAGGCAATGCCTGCTTCGGACAGCCATTCCTCCTGTATCAGATGCCACACCCTGCTTCTGCCTCAGAGGATCAGCCCTCAACGCGCAGGGCCTCGTCTCCTTCAGCAGCGTCGCCAACCAGATCTTTACCCTCCGTCTTGCATGACAGAGTCAGCTCTGGAGACAAGCCCACCACTTCTGGCACAGTGAAACCGCGTTCAAAAATACCCACGGTGCCGAAGCTGACGAAATCGGGAGAAGCGGCACAGTCTGCAGCACCAAGGATTGCATCGGCTCCGCCTGCACCCAAGCCACCGGCACCGAGAGCGTCATCGGCACCGATAGCTACAAAATTGGCATCGGTGGGCTCTACGGCACTGGACAATCATGCAGCACCAGTGAGTGTAGCACCACATCCATCCATGGTCGGCACCGAGACCCCGGCACCGACAATTCCCCCACGCCGAAGCTGCTCCCGTTCACTAGTTTTTTCTCCGGCACCGTCTCCCTTCTCCACTGGCACCGCATTCTCCAGCTTACCACGATAGCCGTCACAGGTCTTCATGCTCCCCACAACAATTATCATCTCCTTTTCTCACATCATACCCTGACCATGGCAGACATCACCATTGTCATCGCTCCATCTCTTCTGCTTCCTCCAGAGCTTCTTACATCAGCGCTCGCTCTCCACACTCTTCCCACATCCATCATTGGCAGCATACCCAATCTGCTTATTCTGAAAGACGCTTGCCGTTGGACAGACTCTACCACCGTGATAACCTTTACCATCACAACTCTCGCAGCAGATATTCATATCACTGCAGATCCAGGTCTCACGGGCAATCTTGCTGTGAATGTGCATCCTCCAGGTGCTCACCAACTCTGGCTCCCCCTACTCCAACAGGACAAACTACATCCCCACCTCAACTTCCCTTGGAACCGGAGTGGAGTATACCCATCTTGATGAGCGGCCACCAGAGGTGTCTCCTGTTGACTCTTCTTCCCCAGTTGAATTGGATGTCTCTCCACCAGATGACCTTTGACAGTTTCAGGAGCTTTTTAAACGTGTCGTGGTCAGCCAGGAAATACCATTGGAGGAAGTGAAAGACATGCAACATCGTCTTTTCAAAAATCTTCAACCATAGCACAGGTCAAGATTGGCTATTCCTTTGGATGAAGCCGTCCTAGAGGTTGCTGAGGAAATTTGGCACACGCCCGCATTGACACCACCGACTGACAAGACAGCCGATAGAAAATCCTTCATCCCCCCCAAAGGGAATGGAATTCCTCTTCACCCATCCCCAGCCCAACTCCTTAGTTGTGGAAGCGTCCCATCACAGGTTCAAGACTCCACAATATAAACAAACAGCCTCGGACAAAAAAAATACGAAAAGGTTAGACTTGCTGGGTAGAAAAGTATACACATTGGCAACACTAATGCTCAGAATTGCCAATTATACAGCACACCTCTCCAACCATGTCTTCGACATGTTCTCAAAGCTGACCCCATTGATGGACCATTTTCTGGACTCTAAAAGACCCATATTAAAGTCTGTGGTTCAGGAGGGCTATACGTCAGCTAGACCAGCCCTCCAGATAGCCATGGATGTGGCAGATACAGTGACCCGTTTTAATGCCACTGCGGTGGTCATGTGAAGGGCATCTTACCTTCAGGCAGCGGGAGTCCCCAAAGATCTACAAAATAAGGTTGAGGACTTGCCATTTGACAGAGAAAAGTTGTTTGCTGAAAAGACCGACAGCGTATTGCACTCCTCGAAAGACTCCCATACAACTCTTAGGACATTGGGTATGTATACCCCTCCATTTAGAAGGTGATGATACACTCCATACCAGTGAAGATACGACTACCCATATGTTAGACAGCACTGGCAGCAGCCACAACAAAGAAATTTTGACCACCAACTCTCACGGCAAAGACCTCAATGGCGTCGAAACATAGGCAACCATATGCAGACCCCATCAAACAACAAATAGCGGGTTTGATGCCTTGGTCAGGGGCATGCAAACAGTTCTCTACAGCAGCAATGATCACCACACCCTAATTTTCCACCAACGTCTGAAGCCATTTTACCATCAGTGAGCCAAAATCACTATGGACAAATGGGTGATGAAAATTGTTCAATCGGGTTATACCATCCCCTTCATCACCATTCCTCCCCTCCCACCCCATCCCTTTTCAGGGTCCCATCTCATGAGACCCTGCTACACATCGAGGTCAACCATCTGCTCTCGCTAGGGGCAATAGAACCAGTCCCAAGCAAATTCAAGGGCAAGGGGGTTTTACTCCCACTATTTCCTCACTCAGGAAAAAGTCAGGGGGATGACAACCGATACTAGACCTCCGCTACTTGAACAAATTCCTACAAAAATAGCGATTCAGGATGATCACACTAGCTGCTATAGTTCCCGCGTTAGATCGCGACAACGGGTTTGCAGCCCTCGACCTCCAGGATGCCTATTTTCATGTTTCAATCCATCCGGCACACAAGAGATTCCTACGTTTTGTTGTTGGCACAGACCATTACCAGTACAAAGTCCTGCCATTCAGCCTTTCGTCCTCCCTCAGTGTATTCTCAAAATCCTGGTGGTAGTTGCAGCCTGTCTTCGCTGATGAGGAGTGATTATATTCCCATACCTGGACGATTGTTTACTCAAGGGATGCACTGCTGCCGAAATAGTAGATATGATTCGCATCACCAAGCAATCCTTTCACGCCCTTGAACTCCTCGTCAACGAGCAAAAGTCCATTTTGCATCTGACTCAAGAGCTGGAATTCATAGGAACTCGGCTGGATTCAACGACAGCCAGAGCATACTTACCTCTGCAGAGATTCGAGGCTATCCAAGACCTCATTCATATCATCCAAGAAAGCTCCACTGTCCAGGTCATCACTTGCCTGAGACTCGTGGGTCACATGGCCACCACCACTTATGTGGTACGTCATGCCAGGCTACACTTCCGTGCTCTTCAGTATTGGCTGACACTAGTGTACAGCTGCACCAGACACGATCTTCACAGGCCAGTAACTCCTCCACAATCTGTCCTTCAATCACTCCTTTGGTGGACAAGTTGCAAGAACCTTCTTTCTGGGGTACCGTTTCATCAACAGCAAGCCTAGCACCGCATCACAACTGCTGCTTCCCTTATAGATTGAGGAGCACCTTGGGTACGATTTTGGCACAAGGCCGATGGTTGGCACCAGAGACTCGACTCCTTATAAGCCTTCTAGAATTATGAGCAATTTTCAACGCTTGCAAACACTTCCACAAATGTATTCAGGATACGACAGTGAGAATCCTCACAGACAATGTCACGGCCATGTATTACGTGAACTGTCAGGGCAGAGCTCGATCCCGCTCCCTCTGTGTGGAATCAATCCGATTTTGGAATTGGTGCGTTCGCCACGGAATAACACCTGTGGCATCCTTCTTACCTGGCATCCCTCTGTGTGCTGGGGACTTTCTCAGCAGACACTTCGCCATGGAGCATGAGTGGGAACTACACAACGCTATTCTCCACATCCTTTTTCAACGATGGGGAATTCCCCTAATAGACGTCTTCGCGACTCATCACAACAGAAAGTGCCGCAAGTACTGTTCCAGGGCGGGTTTTGGTCCGGGCTTCCTAGGAGATGCATTCTTTTATCAAGTGACACAGACACTCCTATATGCCTTTCCTCCTACAGCCCTCATCCCCAAGGTTCTGCAGAAAGTGAAGTCAGATGGAGCCAGGATCATATTGATAGCCCCAGCATGGGCGCGTCAGCACTGGTTCCCCTTCCTCCATTGCATGTCATCACGCAGACCATTTCAGCAAAAGGGTGCAAACGCTGTGAGACACTGCAGCGCATGCACAGTCCGGCTGGGTACTGCTTCCAGAAAAGTCTCCATTCTGCAGCACCTGGGCAAGCCCAGCACATACAGCGGCGCACCCCCGGGGACACCATCTCGAAGAACGACAGTTACTGCACCGAGGTGAGTAACTTCGCTTTTTTCTGTACTTTTACCCTATACTGTACTGATTTCACAGGGGAGAACAGCATTTCTCAGACTGGGGGTTCTGACCCAAAAGAGAATTATGAGGGGGGTCACAAGTTTATTGTAGGAGGCTGCAGTTTAGCTACCCTTATTTCTGTGTCAGGACTGTTTCCCACTCTGGCACTTTGAGTGCAGAAGGTAGGGGCCTGCAAGAGACCTTAAAAATACCTTGCCTCTATAGGTTTCTGCTTAAAAACTCTGCTTAAAAGGTCACAGATTCATTGACTTTGGGAGGTAGCTGCCACCACCAAGTGAAACAAAAGACCCCCTTTCTTCTTGAACCCAGGAAGAAAGCACTTGGATTTCTTCCAGAGGAATACCCCAAGCTCTTTTACCAAAAGAGAGCTAAAAAAAAAAAAAAGAGAAAACAAACTGCAGTATCTAGTAGCTGATCTCTCAGCCTTAATCATGAATACACACACACAGACCTCCTGTTTCCTTCCAGGATACAAGAATCAAATTGTCACCT